CAGCGTGAGGAGCCGAGTTGTGCGGCGCCCGACGCAGGACAGGGTCGGTTGGGTCCGGCTGGCACCCCAGTGTCGAGACGCTGCGCGCCTACTGTCGCCAGCAAATCGTATCACAATCATGTGATTCCATGGGGTTGTGCGTATAGATTATAGATGTATATATATATATATATATATATATATATATCACGTATCTATACATATGGGTATATTCTATCATATGATGCAGTGCCGTTGTAACAGTCATATTCTATGACTAAATGATATCTTATTTCGCAACTATGGTATGTTGTATGATCTTCTATGTTATACTGTAGCGTATTGCATTGTAGTGTATCGTCTTGCATTCGAGTATGTTGCAGTCTGCTTCTCTATTTTATATTTCCCCACATCCTGAGTGGGGTTCCTGTTTTCCCAGAACATCCTCTCCTCCTCCTCCTCCTCCTCCTCCCGCTTCCTCCACCATCCCATACTGTATCATACCATACCAATACCATGCCACTCCATACCATACCTTACCATACCATACCATGCATCCACCATCCCATACCATACCATGCCTTTCCTCACACCATGTTATTTATCATGTTTCGTGCCCCTCCCACCCCTCCAGGGAGGCCCCGCCTGAGCGAGCAGGGTATTCGTACACCATGTCATTTATCTGGTTTCGCGCCCCTCCCACCCCTCCAGGGAGGCCCCGCCTGAGCGAGCAGGGTATTCGCACACCATGTTATTTATCAGGTTTCGTGCCCCTCCCACCCCTCCAGGGAGGCCCCGCCTGAGCGAGCAGGGTATTCGCACACCATGTTATTTATCAGGTTTCGTGCCCCTCCCACCCCTCCAGGGAGGCCCCGCCTGAGCGAGCAGGGTATTCGGATTTATCAGGTTTCGTGCCCCTCCCACACCATGTTATTTATCAGGTTTCGTGCCCCTCCCACCCCTCCAGGGAGGCCCCGCCTGAGCGGGCAGGGTATTCGCACACCATGTTATTTATCAGGTTTCGTGCCCCTCCCACCCCTCCAGGGAGGCCCCGCCTGAGCGAGCAGGGTATTCGCACACCATCTTGTTTATCAGGTGTCGTGCCCCTCCCACCCCTCCAGGGGGGCCCCGCCTGAGCGAGCAGGGTATTCGCACACCATATTATTATCAGGTTTCGTGCCCCTCCCACCTCTCCAGGGAGGCCCCGCCTGAGCGAGCAGGGTATCCGCACACCATGTTATTTATCAGGTTTCGTGCCCCTCCCACCCCTCCAGGGAGGCCCCGCCTGAGCGAGCAGGGTATTCGCACACCATGATATTTATCAGGTTTCCTGCCCCACCCATCCCTCCAGGGAGGCCCCGCCTGAGCGAGCAGGGTATTCGCACACCATGCTATTTATCAGGTTTCGTGCCCCTCCCACCCCTCCAGGGAGGCCCCACCAGAGCGGGAAGGGTGTTCGCACACCATGTTATTTATCAGGTATCCTGCCCATCCCACCCCTCCAGGGAGGCCCCGCCTGAGCGAGCAGGGTATTCGCACACCATGTATTTATAAGTTTTCGTGCCTCTCCCACCCCTCCAGGGAGGCCCAGCCTGAGCAAGCAAGGTATTCGCACACCATGTTATTTATCAGGTTTCGTGCCCCTCCCACCCCTCCAGGGAGGCCCCGCCTGAGCGAGCAGGGTATTCGCACACCATGTTATTTATCTGGTTTCGTGCCCCTCCCACCCCTCCAGGGAGGCCCCACCAGAGCGGGCAGGGTATTCGCACACCATGCTATTTATCAGGTTTCGTGCCCCTCCACCCTTCCAGGGAGGCCCCACCAGAGCGGGCAGGGTATCCGCACACCATGTTATTTATCAGGTTTCGCGCCCCTCCCAACATTCCAGGGAGGCCCCGCCAGAGCGGGCAGGGTATTCGCACACCATATGATTTATCCGGTTTCATGCCCCTCCCACCCCTCCAGGGAGGCCCCACCAGCGCGGGCAGGGCATTCGCACACCATATTATTTATTAGGTTTCGTGCCCCTCCCGCCACTCCAGGGAGGCCCCGCCAGAGCGGGCAGGGTATTCGCACGCCATATTTTATTATTAGGTTTCGTGCCGTTCCCGCCCCTCCAGGGAGGCCCCACCAGAGCGAGCAGGGTATCCGCACACCCTGCTATTTATCAGGTGTCGTGCCCCTCCCACCCCTCCAGGGAGGCACCACCAGAGCGGGCAGGGTATCCGTACACCATATTATTTATCAGGTTTCGTGCCCCTCCCACCCCTCCAGGGAGGCCCCACCAGAGCGGGCAGGGTATTCGCACACCATATTGTCCATCAGGTTTCGTGCCCCTCCCACCCCCCCAGGGAGGCCCCACCAGAGCGCAGACAAGAAGCAATGGATCCCCGTAACATCTTTATGTGGGGAACTCCGTTAGCATAATTTTGTTCTATGTAATATATGGTTACCTACTGGTTATCATAATTCAAACTAGTTCACGCGACTGTCGTACAATCAAACGTCATTTAATACAATGCAGAGTAGTTCAATTCAATGTATAATACATCGCTACTTAAAATACACCATAATGTAATCCAGTATGATTGAATACAAAGTAATGTAATAAACCATAGTTTGTTGCACTACAACGTCGTATCATCTAATATAAATCAATGCGTATTAAATACTATGCAGTAGCGTGGTTTGGTGAAGTGTACATGCATCTGTGCCTGCGTCTATATTTTTATGTGCTGTTTGTATGTTGTGTGCAACTATATGTACAATTGCAGGTGCAACCATATCATCAAACAGTATAAACACTTGTAGAATAACATGCCAGGTGCAACTGTTTAAACTATTTTCGTGCCACTATTTTGCATACGTCTACATATACATATCTACATATATACTTTTATATGCCCACATATGTTAACCAACGTGGCCACCAACAGTTGTTTCCTGCTTCTTGTGCACGTGATCTTGGTATGCGTGTTTGTATATGTCGGTGTATAGATAACGTAGTGCAATATATGTGGTGCTAGTTATGCGGTGCAGCACACCTACACATGTTTACACACACGTATATGTGTGTGCGTATGTGATGCAATACGTAGTGCGCAATTGTTTTAAACACGCGAGCTGGCATACCCCATGCTTCGGCAAACATCCCACCTATCCACCCGCAACTTGGTTAGCAAAACCTTTGCGGTGCCGATTGCGGTGCAGGCGGTGCATGCTTGGCGTTGGCTGGTGCATCTCTGCGGCCGCGCCAGCCCAAACACGCGCGCTCAGCGGCCAGTTAGTTTGGCGCGACCGACGCGGCCGCGGTGGCGCTGACCGCTGGGCGCGTCCCAGCGGGTATTTCACTGCGAGTCGTCGACTTGGGCGGGCGCGGTATCATAGCAACGTCGACAACGGTAGACACGATAATGATCGTAGCGATGCTGGTGGCGATGTTGACGCCGACGAAGGCGCGGCCAGTACGGGCGCCGATGCTGATCACGCCGACGACGATGACGGCGTCCTCGCGTCGGTGTTGAAGGTATTAGAAAGAGTTCGACATGCGCGCGCGGCCGACACGCGAGTTTGGCCCGCATGGTTTTATTTGACACGGATCGTGCTCCCCCCAGCACGCGGGCAAGGGCGTGCGAATGATGTCGGCATGCGGCGCGAGAAGTCCGCTTGGCATAGTTCGGTGACAGTGTTGAAAAGCTTCTGGTTTCCTAAAGAATTCGCAGGAACGCGAACGCACGCTTGATTGAAAACTGATGTTGCGAAACCATTTGTTTTGTATGTTTTTTTGGGCACCCGGTTTTCAATTCCTCGCGACACTTTTTCGTAATAGGTTTTCGCGACGGCGCGAACGCAAAGGGCGTTCGAACGATATCGGCACGCGCGCGCGAAACCCGTTTGGTAGCATTTTGTGAACATGTTGGCAAACTCATGGTTTCCACAAACATTAGTTTTCAGCATGCGCGCGCAGCGCGCGCGTGTGCACTTCGTCAATTTTTTTCCCGCGAAAAGATCCTTGACCGTTGATGATGTTTGATAAACGAGTGCGCGCGCATCGTATTTGTTGGGCAGGGGATGGCGGGGGGGGGGGCGGCGGGGGCGGATACCGGCGGGGCTGGGACGGTACGAGTACATATTTGGGATGGACGATGGGGCAGAAACATTTGCACATCACAGTACGAAAAAGGGGAAGTGATATTTTTCGGGGGGTAGATTTTTTATATAGAAAAGAGAGAGGCATATACGGTGTACAGCCGATGTTATGGAATCTATGTGGTGCAATCCCTGTTTCGAAAAAAAAGGTGAAAAAGCGCGCCGTAGGCGCGACAACACAACACCGTGCAATGTATTTGATGCAGTCTACGTGGGGCACTCTATGTGGTGGGTGCACTATTTATGTTGGGAGCTAACGTACTCATCGATGTGGTGGGAGCTGTGTGGTTTCAATTATGCGTTGCAGTCGAGGGCGATCATAATGGCGCCGCGGGGGCGAACATATACATGTGCGTGCAGCCTGTGTGCTGCATTCTATGCGCAGCATATGTGGTGCAATATATGTGGTGCGACCCATGTTACGCAATCGATGTTGTGCAGTCTCTCTGGCTGTGCAATATAGATTGCGAAATATACGTTTTGCCGTCTATGTTGTGCGGCCTAAATTGTACAGTGTCTGTGGTTATGCAACATATGTTGCACCATCTATGTGGTGCAGTGTATGCTGTGCAGTATCTGTGTGGCAATCTATGTTGCGAACGATCAAAAAGTGTGCCGCAGGCGCGATTTTCCTCGTGCGACCTGTGTGGTCCAATCGGCCCATCCTGTTTCGTGATCCCTTCCAGGACGCCCTTCCTGGACGCCCTCCCTTCCTGGACGCCCTCCCTTCCTGGACGCCCTGGACGCCTTCCTTTCGTGTTCCCTTCCTGGACGCCCCCCCGGCCAGACAGGGTGCGGGCAGCGAGGCTGCCCACGGCTTGCGCGGCAGAGCACGGGCCATTGGGCGGCGTGCTGCCCGCTCTTCCTCGAAGAATGTTCGGCGTCCGAGGTTCGCTGGCGTACCGCGACGAGTACGAGGCGCTCGCCAAGGAGAAGGCGCAGAAGGAGGACCTCGCCCGCTGCCTGTACACGAAGAGGCGCAACGTGATCAACGAGAAGAAGCGTCTTGGCCAGCAGACTGCCGAGGCTGGGCCGAGCCTTCCCCGCACAAGGGGAGGGGAGGAGGAGGAGGAGGAGGAGGAGGAGGAGGAGGAGGAGGAGGAGGAGGAGGAGGAGGAAGTGCCTCCCTCCTTCCCTCCTCTTTCGTGAGGTGCGCGCTGTGACGCTGTCCCGTCTCCTGACGGTTGCGTTTGTCCTCCTCTGTTGCTGGGTGCACGTTGCCTTATCCTTTCCTCTTCCTCTCTCTTGTCACGGCCTTTTTACTGTTGAGCCTCTGGGAGGGAGCGGGCGAGCGATCCAGGAGTAGGACGTGTCAGACCTGGGGCAGCCAGGACACGGAACGAGGGGCTGCAAACACGGCCGGTCTGATGCAGAAAGGGGAAGACGTCAACGTGCACGACGGGTTCATCTCGTTTTTGTAGTAGCCGTCCGTGGACGGGGGGGGGCGGGGGTAACTAAAGGAGCGTTGACACAATGACTCTTTCAACTGATTGTCCAGCCCTCTTGAGGCCCTCGTCGGGCCCGTTAGGTCTCGGGCGGGCCTCGTTTTGGTGCTCTCTTGGGGTTTCTTGAGGTCCATCGTCTCCCTCTTGGTACTGTCTCAGGGCATCCGCGGGCACGTCGGAGGTTCACAGAACGCTCAAGAGGGGAGGGGTTACCTGTGAGGGAAGGGTGAACGAGGGAACGATCAGGGGCAGGGTGAATGGGGGCTAGGGCCACCACGAGGGTGCGAAGACAGTCGCGCTTCGCGGTCTGGGCGATTTCAGAGCGAGGCGCGATTCCCTCAGCCTGTTCTGGGGGGGGGGCGGCGTGAAAGCGCGAAGATAGTGCCCTCGTGGGGGAAAGGGAGGGGAACGGGTCCCGCCTGCCGCGTCTCCGATCGACTCGGATGATAGCCGATGTGCGGAATCTGGCCCTCATCTTGTCCGTTTCCACTGTTTCCCTGGGGCATCTCGAGTTCTTCCAGGCCGATATGCAGCGCTCCCTCGAGGCCGAGCTTTGAAAGAGTGCGTTCTGTGGTTGCTCGAGGGTGGAAGGGCTTCCGCCAGGGGGGACCCCCCTCCAAACACCCCAGACGTTCGGAGACCGCGGGGCCCCCACCCCACAGCAAAACTATCGGGTGGAGTCCCGAGCCGCCTCCCCCCCGCCATCGCTCGCACGTGGGGGGGTGTTCAACCCCCCTTCCTCGCTCCGTGCAGAGGGGTGGGGGTCAACCCCTCTCCTCCACCTCCCCGCGCGCCCCCTCCGCGCCCATAAACGACGTGGACGACGACGACGACGACGACGACGACGAGGCCCGCCCGCCCGCCCGACCGACTTGCCTACGACGACGACGACGTGTCTCGCCCGCCCGACCGACACGCCCACGCCGACACGCCCACGCCGACGACGAGATGACGACGTGCCCCACCCGCCCGCCCGCTGCTGCCGTCGTCGTCGTCTTAGTCGCCGTCGTCCGTCGTCGTCGTCGTCGTCGTCGTCGTCGTCGTCGTCATCGTCGTCGTCGACGACGTTCTCGTCCTTATCATCGCCGTCGTCGTCGTCGTCGTCGTCGTCGTCGTCTGCCAGTACGGGGGGGCAGGGTTGAACCAGCTTTGCGCGAGGGTGTGTGTGTATAGGGTGTGTGTATGGGGGGGAGGGGTTCTGGTTCGCCTGGTGATTGGGATTCATTTGGGGGAGTCCCTCTGGCTTTCGACGAGTCGGGGAGTGTTTCCTTCCCAAGCGTTTGTGAAACGCATTCTCCCCGAACTTTAAGCACCATACTTGTTTTATTGTTGTTGCATTCTATTTACTTCTAATTCGCTACAGAAATGCTCGGATGGTTTTCGAGGATGAATATCGTATTTGTAAGTGTCTGCGTTGGTTAAACCTATTGTAATGCGCGGTGATATGGCATTTCGCTTTTTTGTTTGTTTGTTTTGTTTTGTTTTGTTTTGTTTATTATTATTATTATTATTATTATTGTTATTATCATTATATAGTATACATCGTTTGTTTTCCGAAGTGCAGTGGTCACTTCCTTCGCGGTCCTTCGCTCGCTTGGTAATGACTGCCGTTGTCGTTGTTATGTTTTCAGCTGCTTTGTGTGATCAAAATGTTTAATGCATAGGGGGCCAGAGCAGCTACGCTCTGGCGATGCAGCAGAACCCTCGACCGTGCCAGCAAAGTATGGCACTTTTATGGAGCTCTTCGAAGAGGCAGTGGACGACGGCTTGACAGGACCCCGTTGGCCCCCAGGATGCTCTCGCGCTGTCTGGGACGCAATGGTTCCACCAAATTTTCCGAAACAATCGAGAGAGAGAGAGAGAACGCGTACCATACCCCCCGCACGTGCGGATAGGAGTGAGGGGCTGCGGTGGTCTCGGCGCGACGCGCCTGTGCACCCAACAAATATCAGAAGCCCGCCGCAGGCTCCGATTTTCAAAGTTTGGGCATGCATGCCTGCGCCGCCAAGACCGGCGCCACCAAGGGCCCCCCACGACGCCGCGGCGCACCCCCCTCGGACGAGCTGCCGAAACAGGTTGTTCAACGGAGCATGCCCTGAAGCAGCCCGCCGCAGGCGCCGATTCTCCCCAATCTCCAGCGTTGCTGCATCCCTGCGCGCTCTCCAGACCTTTTCGCCGCCCGTGGGCCCCGCGGCGATGGGCACCCTCACCACCCACCAAACCACCCCAACCCAACCCGAAGGCCCCAATTTGCCCTCCATTTCCAGTGGGGGGGGGTCGGGGAATGTTGAGAAAACACATATGAAACCCTTACCCCCCCAACCCGAAATTCGGGTCTTCGGGTTGGGTTGGGGTGGTCTGGTAGGTAGTCACACCCAGGACGCCGCGAGTGTCCCCACTGGGCGGGCTGCCGGAAAGAGTCGCCACACGGCCGGCGCCTCCCCCGCGGCGCCCCGCGGCGAGAGGCCCCCGCGGCGCCGCGGGCCCCCCCGCGGGGGGGGCCCTTCCTCCGGCCGCCCCCCCCTCCTGGGCCTCCACACGTGCGCGTGGTCCCTCCCTGCCAGGCCCCGCTGGGCCTCCCGCCCGGACTGAAAAGAAGAAGAAGAGGAAGAAGAGGAAGAAGAGGAAGAAGAAGAGGAAGAAGAAGAAGGAGAAGAAGAGGAATAAGGAGAAGACTAATAATACGAAGCGGACGAAAAATGATAATACCATTCATACTACTAATCATATTAATAACAACAAGAAGAAGATAAACGCGACGATGTTTGCCTGCCCCGGAGTAGCCAACGCGCACGACATGAAATGGATTCGCACTCCGATGGTAGCCAGCGTGGACATCAAACAGTGGTGTCTTGCAACAAATGCGATGCATTCTAGGTGGTGCAATCACTGTGGTGCAATCTAGGTGGTTCAATCCACGCGGCGCAATCTTTGTGACGCAAAGCAATGCGAAGAAATGCCAGTCAATGCGAAGCAACACAAGGCAATGCACACCAGCGTAAACCAATGCAACGCAAAGCAATGCAAAGCAATGCAAAGCACCGTAAAGCAATGCAAGACAGTGCAAAGACATGCAACGCAATGCAGAGCAACGCATGGCAATACGAGGCGGCGACGAGGCGGCGACGAGGCGGCGACGGCGGCCACATAGCCGCCAGTCCGCCGCGCAGGCCCAGTTCCTTAGAGAAAAGTAACGCGAAGCAATGCAGGCCCCGACAACGGGCGGCGACGGGGCGGCGATTGCGACCACGGAGCCGCCAGACCAGATCGCCAGACAGGCCCAGACGACGGGCGGCGCCGAGACGGCAACGGGGCGGCGACGGCGACCACGGAGCCGCCAGACCGCCAGACAGTCCCGGTTCCTTGTGGCGAACACGTCAGAACCTCGAAGTGCAAGTTCTGTTGGGGGAATGAGGGGTGCCTGAGAAGCAGCGAAACAATTCTGCAGAGTGGCGCGGCAGTAATCTTGTACGGTTGTTGTTTTGATTTTTGGTGACTTCTTGGGTGCTTCTTCGGAACTTACTATCCTGGCCTTTCGGGGTCTTCTGAACAGCTTCGTCTGGGCCCAGTAAAAGTCTTGGAGCCCTCGATGGTTCCACCGATCTCTTCAGAGGAGACTCGGTAGAGACATCTCGTGTCCACATGGACACGGCGAGTGGAAACGGCGAGTGGGATGAGCTCTGCTCGTGCCTGGCCCTGGAGTGCGCCAGGTGCCACCCGCGTGCCGTGCCGTGCCAGCCCGCGCCCTCGCATGCGCAAAGTTGCGCCGCCCGCGTGCCGCGCCGTCGAGCTGCCGCGCGCCGCGCCGTGCCCGCGCCCCGGCGTGCGAACGAGTTGCCGCTTAGCGTGCCCGTGCCGTGCGCGCGTGCCGCGTCGCGGCGCCGCGCCCCGGACTGCGAGACGGCTGCTGCGCCCGCGTGCCGCGCCGTGCCCGCGCTCTCTCGACCGCGAGAGGCGGCGCGCCGCCCTGGCGCGCATCGTGCCGTGGCCGCGTGCCGCGCGCCGGCTCGCCGCGTGCCGCTCTCGTGCCGTGCCTGTGGCGCCGCTGCGCGGGCGCGATCCCGGCATCGAGGGGGGGAGCAGCAGCCATCAAGCAGTGGCGAAGCGTTCTCTGGCTCGCCTATCGGCCCACCGAGGAGTGTGCTGAGAACCGTTTGTGATTTCCACGGGATGTTCTCAGAACATTTCTGGCTGGGACTGTCCTGTTTTAAGACATCGGGCTTATGTTCTAAGAACAGTGTTTTGTTATTGGAACATATTTGGGTTCTAAAAACATGTCGTGGTAGGCCTATAGGAATGCTGGGGCGGTCGGTCCCTGCTCAAAGCCACCCAGGCCTGACAGATCATTTGCGTTTGCTCAGCGGCCCCGGGCGTTTACTAAGCGGCACTGCCCTGTTCGATTCCCTCTTCGGGTTCGTTTACTGAGCGGCTTCGCGTGTCGGGGTGAGTACTAGGAGGGTGGGGTGTGTGTTTCTGCTCCATAGCACGCGGTTGCGCTGGTGGCGCTGAGGCTGTGGCATGGCTGTTTTTTGATTTCTGGTTGGTGGCGCTCCTCGTTGGCGCCGCGGCCAGTGTCCTCTCCGCGTGCTTCCGCCCAGGCTCGTCCCCCACTGGGTCATCTATTTCTATCGGTGCTCGCTGTGTTCCACTCCTCGGCTCCTCCTCCGTCGATCCGTCATTGGCACCAAGCGTAGTACTTCTTGCCCCGTCTTCCTGCGGCAGCCCCCGAGACATCGGACGTTCCTCGCCGAGCGCCCATCGACGCAGGCTCAGATGTACAGGGCGAAGGAGATAGAGAGGCGGCACATGGAGGTGGAGTTCTACCTCTTTCAGTTTCACTGCATCGCTTGGCAGGTGGGGACAGGGTTGTGGGAAGCTCGGTGCATAGCGCTCGGCGGAATAAGAGGATGGCAAGGACAATGATGAGCAATAGCATGGCGGTGATGATGACTAGAAGAGGGAGGAGGACGAATAGTATGACAGTCAGTGGCAGAGGCATGATGTTGCTGATGATGGTGGTGGTGGTGGCCATGATGCTGAGGATGATGATGCGGATGATGACGTTGATGACGATGACGATGACGATGACGATACTGACGCTGCTGATGATGTTGGTGATGCTGATGCTGATAATGCTGATGATGATGACGCTGTGACGATGCTGATGGTGATGCTGATGATGTTGATGATGTTAATCATGATGCTGACGACTATGCTGATGCTGATGATGATGATGCTGACGACGATTATGATGACGATGATCAACGACGACGATGATGATGCTGTCGATGAGGCTGATGATGAGGGTGATGAGGACGGTGGTGATGATGAGGATGATGCTGCTGTTGCTGATGATGCTGCTGCTACTGATGGCGATGCTGATGATGATAATGATGATGCTGATGGTGATGATGCTGCTGCTGATGATGATTATGATTATGATGATGATGATGATGCTGCTGATGATGAGGAGGATGATGATGTTGATGCTGATGATGATGATGGTGATGGTGATGATGATGATGATGATGATGATGATGATGATGATGATGATGATGATGATGATGATGATGCTGCTGATGAGGAGGAGGAGGAGGATGATGATGATGATGATGATGATGGATGGTGGTGTTGATGATGGTGGTGGTAATGCCGATGGCAGAGGTGATAGTCTGACATGCGGACACCGACATGCCACGGCGGGCATGCAGCGCTATCGTGGGAAACACTGCGATGCCATGAGGTTGTGCCACGCTTGCGCTGCTCCCACGTGCTGGCCTGTCTCCTCTCAGGGGTGGTGCTGCCTGCCCCGAAGCCGACGCCGACGCCAACGACAGAGCCGCCCCTCCTGCTGCTGCGCTCGCGCTGGGCGCCCGGCCCGTCGTGCCTCTCACGGCGCGCGCCGGGGACCACACCTCGAGGGGGGGAGCGAGAGCAGCCCCCCTTTCCCTCCCTCTCGGGCAGGCCCAGGGTAGGGGAAAGTAGGCCCTCCTCCTCCTCCTCATTCCTCCTCCTCCACCTCCTTCTCCTCCTCCTCCTCCTACCCCTCTCCTCCTCCTCCTCCTCCTCCTCCTCCTCCTCCTCCTGCTCCTCAAGTCTCCCCTGACAAAGTCGGGCTGGTCGCTTCGTCCAAGGAAATCGCCAGGCATGTCCAGAAACGTCTGGGGGGGCTTGGAGGAGATTTCTCTGAGTCGTTCGTCAACTTGGGGATTGATGACACTGCAGGCTGTGCCAGGCGCGTCCGAGGGCGCAACAGCAGAGCGAAGGCGCGCTTTGCGAGAGCCTCTAGGCGTGCAGGCAGGCTGGCTCGTCAAAGAGGAGTTCTAGGACCGAGGGCTACCAAGCTTTGCTCGGCTGGACCTCTGGCGGGTGTGAATTATGGGGCGGAGGTTCACGGAGTCAGTGATGGAGAGTTAACCAAAGTTAGACGTCTGTGTGCCTCCACGATGAAGCCTGCCTGTGGCGGCCGAAGTTTAACCATTCTCAGTAGGATTGAAGGCGATCCCGCTTGGTGGGGTGCTGTGGCGCCAGCCCTTCGGTGGGCCAAGGAAGTCTGGGCTCGTGCCACGAGGGTCACGGATTTTTGTTTTTCCTGGGCGGAGCTCCGAAACATGTGGCACGATGTGTTCGGGCGTTCTTGGACCTGGCGTACCGTGAGCGGGCCTATCGGGGCCATGAAACTTTCCTTGGCTCGCTTGGGATGGAGTATGCCCTCGCCCTTTGTAATGGTCAACGACCTTGGGGTCGAGCATTCCCTCACTCTCACTTCTCCCTCCCTCCAGGTTTTTCTCAAAGAAGGGGTTTGGCGATCGTTGGAAACGGAAGCGGCCCGCAAGTACGGCCCTGATGGGGTCGAGTCTTTATGTTTTGACGTCGTCACAAAAGCCCTGCGTTCGAAGAAGTTTACGGCTCGCCAAAAAGGAACGATCCGTTGTTGTGCCTGTCAAGGAATCTGGCCCTACGCCCGCGCTCGGGCAGCAGGTTACGAAGTCGAGGATCGTTGCCCGCTGTGTCTTCAGCCTGGAGACACGATCTTTCATCGGTTGTATGCTTGTACTGCAGTGGAGGAGGAGAGGAGGGCGGTGATTCCTGACAGAGCTCTCGAGCAGGTTTTGTGGACGTTTGCGGCGGCTCCTGAGAAAGAGCGTTTCCATCTTACCTCTGGCTTGTTTGGCCACCCCCAGCGTGTGCTCCCGCCCCCTAAGTCCGACAGTAAATCTGAGGAGGATGATGGTATCCAGTTTCAGTTTTTTCCCGACGGCTTCGCTGCGGAAGGCACGGAACTGCCCCGCGATGGCCGACGACAGATGTGGGGCCACGTATTTTTAGACGGCTCGTGCTCCCGCCAGGTAGTTCGCAGTTCGACTCGTGCAGGATGGGGCTTGGCTATGATAGGCCCTCGGTCGAACCTCCTGGCGTGGTGTTGGGGGCCTGTCTGGGATAGCTGCCCTCAGACACCACAGGCTGGAGAATTTTCGGCATATGCTATGGCTTGCGCGCTCCTGTCCGCGCCAGCAATTCTTTATTCCGGTTGTCAAACATTTTGTTTCGATGCACGGCATGGCCCGACACGAGCAACTTTCCCCCGAGCGTCCATATACGGGGCTGTTGACGCAGGGTCGTTCTCTGGGGGGACAATGGACGCTTGGATGTGTGAAAGTGCCCGCTCACCTTTCAATCGATGATCCCGAGATCGACGATGATGAACGGTTTCGGAGGATCGGAAATGACTTCGCCGACAGGGCTGCCAAGTTGGGGGCTGACTCCCACCAGGCGCCGTCGGAAGAGGTAGCCAACGAATGCACTGCCCTCGTTAATTCGGCTCTCATGGCGGTCAAACTGTGCGCCGCGCTGCTGCCTCTCTGGCCGCGCACGGACCTCTCCCGTGCCGTGTGGTCTGCGCCTGCTCCTTCCTCTCGCACTCCTGTTACGCCCCATAGGTGGGAGTGGCTGGGTCCGCCAGGAGGGGATCCGCGTTTTTGGAGTTGCCAAGGGTGCCTCAGGACGTCACGCAATGCCGCTGACAAAGCTCCAGCCCCTGGCCACTGTTCTGAATTTTTGAGAGTTGACGTTCGGCGGCTTAGAGATTTAAGCCGCAAGTGTATCCTCCTGGATTGTTCGAGCGGGTCGTTTGTCGTCGTTTGTACTGTGTGCCAGAGATACACTAGTGGTGCCCGTTTAGCAGCTCTCAACAAAACTTGTCCAGGTCAGAACGTTTCAGCATACAACTCTGACGCTTGGAACAAGATCTGTAAGGGACTCCATCCGAAAGCGAGAGGAGTAACCTTACTCTCAGACGCTTACAGTGTGCTTTAAGCATGCAGCGGGAGCCAAGGTGCTCAAAACAAATCCTCCTCCTCCTCCTCCTCCTCCTCCTCCTCCCTCCTCCTCCTCCTCATCCTTATCCTTCCTTCCTTTCGGCAGGCGCGGGAGAAGGACGGGCAGCTCCAGAGCGTGTCCGAGCAGCCCTCTATAGAGCGCGCTGGCCGCGGCGCCCAGATGCGTCCTCCGGGCCCGCTGGGCTCTCAGAGGTCTCGTGCCGGGGCCAATCTGTGCCCCGCTCTCGCCGGACGTCGGGGCGGCTTCGCAGCCACGCGCAGAGGGGGGGGGGGGAGGGGGGAGTGCTTCTTAGAAGCACCCCTGCTTCTTAGAAGGCGTGGGCCTTATCAGTAGATACAGGGCCGCCGTCTTCTAAGAAGCAGCCTCCTTCTAAAAAGCCCTCCCCCCTCCCTCCACCCCCTTGCGCGCGCCGCCAAGCTTCAGTATTTCTCTTCGCTGGGGTGTGTGCCTGGCCTGGCCCTCAGAGCTGGAGATCCCGAGCTGCACGTGCCCGAGTTCGTCTCTAACCTGCTCTCGTCTTCCTCCTCCTCCTCCTCCTCCTCCTCCTCTTCCTCCTCCTCCTCCTTCTCTTCCTCCTGCCCCCCATGCTCCCGCCCCTCCCTTCTCCTTCTCCTCGTCTTCCTCCTCCTCCTCCTCCTCCTCCTCCTCCTCCTGCTCCCACTTCCTCCTCCTCCTCCTCCTCCTCCTTTTTGCCTCCTTGCCCCCTTGCCTCCTTGCCTCCTGGCCTCCTCCTCCTCCTCCTCCTCCTCCTTGACTCCTCCTTGTCTCCTCCTGCCTCCTCCTCCTCCTCCTCCTCCTCCTCCTCCTCCTCCTCGTCCTCCTCGGTCCCAAGGTTCGAAAGGCCCTCAACGACTCGGGCGTTGCCAGAGGTGTCCCTGGCCCCAGAGGTGCCCCCCCGCCAGGATTCCCAGGGAGGCCGCCTGCGGCCTCCGGGGCACCCCTCGCAAGGCCCAGGGGGGCTGTAAGGGGCGCTCCAAACGAGGAGGAGGAGGAGGAGGAGGAGGAGGAGGAGGAGGAGGAGGAGAAGTAGGAGGAGGAGGAGGAGGAGGAGGAGGAGGAGGAGGGAGGAGGAGGGGGAGGAAGAGGAGGAGGCGGAGAAGGAGAAGGCGGAGGACGACGTGGATGATGCTGATCATGATTATACCTAGAATGTTGATGCTGCTGATGATGATGATGATGATGATGAGGATGAGGATGATGATGATGATGATGATGATGATGATGATGATGATGATGATGATGATGATGATGGTGGTGATGGTGATGATTGTGATGATGGTAATGGTGATGGTAATGGCGATGGTGATGATGATGGCGGCTCTGCTGTTGATGCTGGTATCGATGCTGACGTTGGCGTTGTTGTTGCTGCTGGTGATGATGACGACGAGGACGAGGATGATGCTGATGATGCTGATGACGGTGGTGATGATGACGATGCTGATGATGATGATCATGATGCTGATGATCATGATGCTGCTGATGATGATGCTGGTGACGCCGGCGATGACGATGTTGGTGGGGATGAGGATGGTGGTAGTGGTAGTGGTGGTGGTGATGATGATGATGATGATGATGATGATGACGAGGATGATGCTGCTGATGATGCTGATGATGACGATGTAGATTACGAGGATGAGGCTGATGATGATGAGGGTGATGATGGTGATCATGATTTTGATGATGCTGACGATTATGTTGATGTTGTTACTGCTGATGATGATTATGATGGTGAGGATGCTGATGCTGTTGATGCTGATGCTGATGCTATTGACGATGATTGTAATGCTGCTTATACAGGTTGTGATGCTTGTACTGGTAATGGTGACGGCGAGACCGATGCCGACGCCGATGCCGTTGGTGATGATGCTGATGCTGTTGGTTACGATAATGATGATGATGATGATGATGATGATGATGATGATGATGATGATGATGATGATGATGATGATGATGATGATTCTGATGCGGATGATGCTGATGGTGATGAGGGTGCTGAAGCAAGGAAGAGACTGAAGATGACGGTGGTGGTGCTGATGAGGAAGAGGGGCCCAGATGGTTTCATTTGCGTTTCTGAGCGGGTAGATTGCGGGAATGGCGATTTGGTTCATCAGCGTAGGAGTGCTCAGCATAGAGCGGTGGGCGGGTGACGGCACCTCGGCCCACCAGGATGACATTAAGAGGCCGAAGATGGTGGTGACGGTGATGCTATCGCGATGATGGCGATGCTGGTGGTTGTGCTTATGGCGATGATGGCGATACACATGAGGACATTGTTGGTGGTGGCGGCGGCGGCAAATATGGCGATGCAAACGGTGACGATGGCGATGCTGTTACTGATGATGCTGATGATGCTGATTCTGACGACGATGATTCTGATGCTGACGATACTGATCATAATGCTCATGATGACGACGATGGTGACGATGATGATGATGATCATGGTGATGTTGATAAGGATGATGATGCTGCTGATGCTGATGCTGATGATGATACTAATGATGGTGATGGTGATACTGCTGATACTGATGATGCTGCTGCTGCTGATGATGATGATGACGACGACCATGTCGATGCTGATGATGATGATGACGATGCTGATGCTGCTGATGGTGATGGTGATGGTGATGGCGATGATGACGATGATGATGCTGCTGCTGATGATGATGATGACGATGGTGATGCTAATGATGATGCTGACGATGCTTACGATGATGATGACGATGACGCTGGTGGTGGTGATGATGATGACGATGATGATCATGCTGATTATGCTCATGATGATACATCGGGATATGAATAGGGACATGACTATTGACACGAATATGAACATGCGTGTGACGATGATGTTGATGCTGATGATGAGGAGGAGGAGCAGCAGGAGGATGAGGAGGAGAGGACGAGGAGGAGGAGGAGGAGGAGGAGGACGAAGAAGAAGAATAAGAACAGGGTCAGGAGACGGAGGAGGAGGAGGCGGAGGAGGAGGAGGAGGAGCAGGAGGAGGAGCAGGAGCAGGAGGAGCATGAGGAGATAAGGGAGGAGGAGGGGGAGGAGGAGGAGGAGGAGGAGGAGGAGGAGGAGGAGGAGGAGGAGGAGGGGAGTTCCTTCACCTTTCCTCTCCCTATCGCGTCTCTGCCCTCCAACGGCCCGCGACCGTAATGCAACTTCAGTCGTCGTCGCCGGCGTCGGCGGTCGAGGACAGGATCGATCATCGAGGTCTTCGGGCGTTTCTGCAGCAGTTCGGGGCGATTCTTGGCGCTCCATGGTGCCGCTTGAGGCGCTTTGTGGGCTCTCTGCGGGCAAAGGGGAGATAACATGGAAATGCGTCACACCCTGGTCGTTTAGAGCGCAGGTAGGTATGTCTGGGTTTCCAGACCCCAGACTGCTTTGGGCGCCTCCCTACTTCCGGAGTCGAGCGGTGTTCCCTCTTCCCTCCTATTCCGGGGGGGCGGGCGGAGACCGACTTGCGCTCATGCGGGGGGGGGGGTCCCCGCATGGGGCGCCAAGATATCCTCGCAGTCCACGCGGGCGCGGCCTGGGCACGGGCCCTTCTCCCGTGGTGGGGGAGGGGGGGCGGGGGCGGGGGCGTGGAGAGGACCGCGCGCCGAGCATCGCGTGGCGCGGCGCGTGAAAGTGAGGCCCCCCCCAAATAGTCAAAAATAGCCTGGGGACGATTTTTTGACCACCTTTGACTATGTTGGAGTATGTTTTGGCAATTTTTTATGTTTCGTCCACAATCCGCCTGTAGGGGGACGTGCCTGACCTAAGCCGAGCATCGCGGGGCGCGGCGCGTGAAAGTCAGGTTCCCGGAGGTCTCCGAAGTCTAGGCCTCCCAGATGGGGTCGGAGTAGATGGGGTCGGAGAATCGTGCCGCATCGGCGATGCGGCTCGATGTGGAGCCCGATTTTCTACGCGCCGACGGCGCCGATCCATCGCCATGCATCGCCAGTGCATCGGCGATGCGGAGCGGTCCTCCGATCCCATCTGCTCTGAGGCGCTGGATTTCTGTCGAGGCGCTGGGCGCCCGGGTCCTGGGGCTTTCTGGGCGTGGGGCTTCCTGGAGCGGGGCCCCACCCGCTGCTGGAGCGGGGCTCCCTGGAGCGAGATTTCCTTTGGCTCCTCTCCCCGGTCGCCTCGTCGTTCGCTCCCCCTCTGCGCTCGTGTCCTCTGCGTTCGTTCGTTCCGAACCCTGCCACCGCCAGGCATGGCGTTGGTGGTGTGGGCTCGTGAAGGCCCTGGGCGATCCATCGAGGGCTGTCCCGACGGGCCCAGTCCGCCGGAGCTCTGGTGGTGTCCCGTCTGCTTTGCGGCGCCAGGTTTCTGCCAAGGCGCCGGATGGCTGGGTCCCCGGGAACGCCTCTCTCGGTTTCCCCCCAGGACCCCCCCTCTAGAGAAGGATTTTTAAGGGAGGTCAGAGGGGTGTGGCGGGGCTTCCCCCCAGGACCTCTCCCTCAAATGGTTTTTTCTTGATGGGGGGAGGGGCGCTTGGTGGATTTTCCCCCCAGGAATGGGGCTTTCTGGGCTCGGGGCTTGCGGGGCCCGGTCTCTGGAGCGGGGCCCAGAACCCGCGCCGTAAGTCGGGCGTGTCCCTCTACAGGGGAGTTTTCAAACATTGTCAGACAATAGTTTTGGGACGATGTTTTGAATTTTTTTTTTGGGGCGGGGGGGGTCATGTTTGAGTATTTTTTTATTCATTTCTTATCGAAGACGTCTACGGCGAATCACCGCCGCCCCCTGACCTTGTGGAAGCGCCTATGTGGCTGACAGCTGGGCTAAAGCCTGGCCAAGCTAGCGGGCCAGCTGTTCCCCGAGTCGGTTTGGAGAGCCTTCGGGGAACGCGTGGGGGAGCAAGAGGTTTGAAAACGCTCATGTGTCCGAGCGTTGTGGCAAGAGCTCTGCCAAGCTGTCGGACCATGTGTTCCCCCAAGGGTTGTGGAAACCCTTCGGGGAACACTTTTGGGAAGATGGCGGGGAAGATCAGGAGGAGGAGGAGGAGGAGGAGGAGGAGGAGGAGGTGGAGGAGGAGGAGGGAGAAGGGAGAAGGAGGAGGAGAAGGAGGAGGAACATAGGGAGGAGGAGATGAGGAGGAGGAGTCTTGTGCGTCTTGGAGGCCTAAATGCGCAAATGCGCAAATGCCTAAATCCAACAAAAGCCTAAGGAACATCAATGATTTTGGCCTCTTCGGCCCTTCCTGGAGAACCTCTTCGAGGCCTCTTTGGCCCGTCTTGGAGGCCTCATGGGGGCCTCTTGGGCTCATCTAAGGCCGTCCTGGGCGCATCTTAGGCCGTCTTGGAGGCATTGTGGGGCCATCTTAGCCGTCTTGGAGGCCATCTTGGATGCCAGATTGGGTCATCTTGGACGTCTTGGAGGCCATCTTGGGCGTCTTGGAGCCCTCTTGGACCGTCTTGGAGCTCTTTTGGGGCCCTCTTGGCGGCCTCTTGGGCCGTCATGGGGCCATCTTGGAGGCCTCTTGGGCGATCTTGGGGCGACTTTGGGGGCCTCTGGGGCCGTCTGGGGCCGTCTGGGGCCGTCGGAAAGCCGGAAAGGTGGAACTGCCAAAATCTTTGAACAATCTAAGGAATATGCATGATTTTGGCCTCTTCGGGCTTTCCTGGAGGACCTCTTGGAGGCCTCTTGGGCCGTCTTGGAGGCCTCTTCGGGGCCTCTTTGGCCGTCTTGGGCCAGCTTGAGGCCATCTCAGGCCGTCTTGGGTGCACCTTGGGCCGTCTTGGAGGCATCTTGGGGCCATCTGAGCCGTCTTGGAGGCCATCTTGGCCGTCTGGGAAGCATCTTGGAGGCCATCTTGGGCCATCTTAGAGCCGTCTGGGGCAGGAAAACCACGGCAACCACCTCCGGAAGAGGCTGGAAGAGCCTCCCGGGACCCCGGCGGGACGCGCCGGAGCCCCAGGGGGAGTTCTTTTGGGAAAAGAACCAGAACCAAAACCAAAACCGAGAGGGTCCAGCACGCCAGGCACCCCTGCGATGAATCGACAGGGGGCGGCGGATTTTTCGTCCACACTCCCCCAGTAGGGGGATACGCCCGACCTAACCCGCGCCCTGGGCGCCGCCCGCCGCCGCGCCCCCGCCCCCCCCCCCCTGGGCGCTCCAGGCGGAGGACGCCCGCCGGCGAGGCGGCGACGCCGAGCGGGCGCTGGGCGAGCTGAGGCGCGGGGGTGGGGGGTGGGCGGAGGGCCGTGGAGGGCCCCGGGAGCCCGTCGGCATGCGCAGCGGTGCGCCCGCAGAGCGCGTGCGGCAGCACCAGCGGGGGGGGCGCGCGGCCCCCGGGCCGTCGAGATGGGGCGCTCTCGTGCTTCTGCCTCGTTCGCCGGGCCTCCTCGAAGGGGGGGGGGCTCCTCCTCGTCCTCCTCCTCCTCCTCCTCCTCCTCCTCCTCCTCCTCCTCGTCCTCGTCCTCCTCCTCCTCCTCCCCTTCTCCTCCTCCTCTTCCTTCGCCTCCTCCTCCTGCTCGAGTCATGAAAAAGGATACGGGAGGTTTTTCTTCCGCTCTCGGCCTCTGAGGTTTTCCCTTGCCGGGCCTCGGGGCCGTCAGGCAACGATTCAGCAGGAAAGACCGGACCCCCGGAGGGTCGAGACCTCTTGGGGTCGACGATTTGAACAAATCTCAGCCACGCGCAGAGGGGGGTGGACTTCTTAGAAGCACCCCTGCTTCTCAGAAGGCGCGGGCCTGATCTACAGATGTAGGGCCGGCGCCTTCTCCTCCTCCTCCTCCTCCTCCTCCTCCTCCTCCTCCTCCTCCTCCTCCTCTCACGTCTTCCTCCATCGTCGCGAGACTTTCCTCGGAAGGGGGCTCGCCGTGCCTGCCGCTCTGCGGGCTCGCGGCAGTCATTTACACACGAGCTGGGCGTGAGCGCTCCACGGGGGCGGCGGGGGCTGCAGAACAGGGGCCCTTCGTTCCCCCTCCTGGGCCCCTCTTGGGGCCGTCTTGGGGCTGTCTTGGGGCCCTCCTGGGCGCCTCTTGCACTGTTTTGGGGCCCCCTCGGAGCGTCTTGGGGCCCTCTTGGGGGCCTCTTGGGCCGTCTTGGGGCGGTCTTGGGGGCCTCTGGGGCCATCTTGGAGCGTCTGAAACCAGAAAACGCGAGAACGCGAAACACATTCAGAGAAACACGAGGGATGTGATCGTTTTTTACTCATTGTTTTGCCGATCGGCGCCGGCCCTCGCACCCCCCCGCTCCCCCCCCTCCCCACGGCGTAGATCTTGGCTGTTTTTGGCGCCTGTTTCGAGCAGGTGGGGTCCCTTCCCCATCGGCCGCACTGCTGCAAACAGTCGCACTAAGCAGAGGTCCTGAGCCAGACCCCCCCTTCCCCCCCCTTCCGCCCAATGTCGAAAGGCTGAAAATACGTTCACAATATCAATGACTTTCGCATATTTGGGCCCTCTTGGGGGTCCTCTTGGGGAACTCTTGGGGCTTCTTCGGGGCTTCTTGGGCCGTCCTGGGGCCCTCGTGGGCATCTTGGAGCGCTCTTGGGCTGTCTTGGAGGCCTCTTGGACCCTCTTGGGCGCTTTCTGGGGCCCTCCTGGCCCGTCTTGAACCCCTCCGGCCTCTGGAGACGTCACGCGAGGCAGCCCAGGAGCGCGCGGGGGCGCCCGGGAAGTTCGGAAGTCTGCGCCCCCAGCCCATTAATAGTTAATTCCAGAGTTTCGAGTACAGACAACAGAGAGCACAAGAGAGCCTGGAGACCGGGAGAAGACTCCACTCCGTGCCTCGAGGCACGGTGGCGGAATGAAGTATGCTGGACATCATGTCTGAATTGAACAGCCAGGGTGGTCGAGCTGCCGAAGCCAGGTTCACTTACTCGGTGTCGATCGAGTTCGTGTCGTGCTGTGCGCGCGGGCGAGGGGAAGCTGCGCGAGCGTGCGAGAGGCGATAGGGTCTTGTAGGGAGGGACCGTTTCTGGACTCTGGGATGGGGCGGTGGGGTAATTAGGCGGAGAGGGGAAAGGGGGGGCAGTGAGTAAGGTAAGGGACAGTCGCTGGAGATGCGGGGGAGCGGGGAGTCGTGTAGGTGAGGAGGTTAGACATGGAGGGAGGGAGGGAGGGAATGGAGGAGGGGAGATGGGGACTTGACGGAGGCGAGGGTGCAGGGACGGGACCGTTGATGAGAGGGCGTTCGCACGGGGGCCCAGTTTCTGGCAAGCTCTGCGCGTGTTTGCGAACCCTTGTGCGGAGTAGTCAAGTACAGGAGGGAAGGGAGTGGGGTGGTAGAGTGATGTGGAACAGGGAGAGGGGAACCTTTACGAAAGGAGGAGGACCATGGAGAGGGAGGAGTGTGGAGTGAGGGAAGGAGGACGCTACAGTATGGCATCGGTGTCGGGAAGAGGGGGGGGCGGCAGCAGGCAGGGATAGAGGGAGGGAGGAGTGGACAGCGAGCGAGGGGGAGGGAAACAGCAGAAGGAGGGAAACAGAGAGAGGGAGGACCATAGAAAAGTCAAGGTGGTGACCTCGTGCACCTGCTCACCCTCCAACTCATCCTCTCTGTCCTCCTCGTCATCCCTCCTCTTCCTCCTTCTCCTTCGAAGTGGGCCTCCAAGGCCCTTGCACCCCTATCGCGCGTCCTTCTGATACGGGTTGGCCAAACTGCTCCGTCCTTCTACTTCTGCTGCTCCTGCTCGTTGTCCTCCTCTCTTTGCTCTTCTCCTCCACCTCCTCCGCCCTCCCTATCATTTCTCCTCTTCTCCTCCTTCGCCCACATCCTAAGTACATAGCAGGTGTCTGGTTCAAGCCACGTGGCTTGAAGCACTTGTAGGCTCGCCTCATTCATGCAGGTTGCTGATGCTCCCGAATGGCCCGCTGCCGGCGCCAGAGCTGCTGCTCGGTGTCAACAAAGGCGGCTGGCATTGACACTCTGTTTCATGAGCTCGCGCTGCACCAACTTGACGGGACCCTGGTGCCACACCAGGCTTCGCTGTGGTCCGAGTTGCTGTCCCGAGCCCCTCTCGGAGGCCTAGAGGTTGACGCCAACACCACTATCGGCAGTGTGCCTCCACCGAGGGAAGATGATCCCGATATCGGTGATGGCGGGAGCATTCGAGCGTCCTAGGTGGCCGAAAGATGACCACCAGCACCAGAATCTAGGATCATCTTCCCCTGGTGGAGGCACCCCCCCGTGTTGGTGCTGGTGCCCATTTCCAAGCCTCCAACCCTCAGAACCTGTGCGAGCTCTTCGAGGCCCTGGCGACAAGCCAGAGCTTCCTCGCGCTCTGGACCCGGCGCGGCCTCCGAGGGCCGCTCCTGCTGCCGCCGCAGCGCTGCGTCCGCCGCGTGCTCTCCCTCGAGGACGTGGCCGCGGGGCTGAGCGCCGCCGCCGCCGCGGGCGAGCACATCCCGGCCGCGCTCGGGCTGCAGCTGGGCAGCGGCGAGACGCTCAACTCCGAGCTGCCGCCGGTGCGCTCCCCCGCCGAGCTGCGCCGCCTCCTGCGGTTCGGCACCGTGTTCCTGAACGCGGCGTCCAGGCGCTGGCGGGCGCTGGCGTCCGTGTGCCTCGCGGCGAGCAGCGCGCTGGGGCTCCCGACGAACATCAACGTCTACGTGACGGCCCCCGGCCGGGCCGTCTCGACGCCCGCGCACGCCGACCGCCACGACGTGATCATCCTCCAGTCCACCGGGCAGAAGCGCTGGCGGGTGTACCGCCCCCTGCCCCGGCAGGCCGGGGGCGGGCACCCCTGGGACCGCGGCAAGCACGGCGGCCCGATCCGGCCGGAGGAGCTGGGCACGCCGCTGCTCGACGTGACGCTGCGGTCGGGGGAATGCCTCTTCGTCCCCGCGGGGTTCCCGCACGAGACGGGCACGCCCGGGGGCGGCCAGGGCGCAGAGGTGTCGGTGCACCTCACCCTGGGCATCTCCGTGGCCGACTGCGGGGTCACCTACGGCGCGCTGCGCGGGCAACTTCTGCTGGAGCTCGGGGAGCCGGGTGCGGATGAGGAGTGCTTGGACGACGAGGCCTTCTGGAGCCTCTACCAGCCGCTTCCGCTGGGCTGCCTGGCTCCCCGTGGCCTGCAGGGCGAGCGGGCCGTCGCGACCATCGCGGAGGCGACCGCGGCCCTGGTGCGCCAGACGGACCTGCGATGCCTGGAGCCGCTGGGCAGCGAGGAGGAGGCCTCGCTGCGCGACGCGGCGGAGGTGGTGGTCGGCAGGTGGCTGCGCATCCAGGACGAGCTGCTTGCGATCTACCGCTCCGGATACGCCGAGGTCGCTGGGGCGCCAGGCTCGGGCCCGGTGGCACTGGGCCTCGCAGGGTCGGGCGAGGCAGGCGGCTTCCATGCCCCACGCGCGCGGCCGCCAGGGGATCCGCTGGTGGACCCGGCGACCCTGGCGGCCGCCGCCTCGGTCGGCAGCTTCTGCGCCTTCCTGCGCGAGCACCTGCCGCGGGCCGAGGCAGAGCCGGAGCCGCCCGAGGGGGCGCCCGCGCCGCTGTTGTACGAGGTGGTGGACTGACTTTGGCGGCCCCGGCTCGCGGCCTGCGAGCTGGCTCCCGAGACATTGCCCGAGCCGCTCGAGAGGAGCCACTGGCGCCGCTCCAGTGCGAGGTGGTGGGCCAGGCGGCCCCACGATCGTGGCCCTTCGGGCTGGCCCCGTTGAAGCTGGCCGCCGAGCGGCGGCGCCTCCGCGGAGAGGCCGCGGCTGCGTGCACGGCAGCCGGCGGCGGCGTGCACGGCAGCCGGCGGCCCGCAGGAAGCCCACGGCCACCCCACGGCCCTGCGGCATCGCGGGCGCCATCGCGAGCGCGCCCGGCCCGGCCCGCAGGAAGCGGCCGATGCCGCCGGGCGCTCCGCGGCCGCCCGCGGCGCGGGGCGGCGTGCGCCAGAGGCTGCGCGCCAGAGGACGGCTGCGGACGGGGCTGCCGCGGGGCGGGGAGCACAGGAGGCCCTCCACCAGCTTGGCAAGCAGCTTGGCGTGCCGGGCCCTGGCGGGGCGCCAGACGCGCAGCTGGTGCTGCTGGGCCGGCACCGGGGCGGCCAGAGAGGCGGCCCTCGCACGGCGCGCGGGGGCCTCGGCCAGCGTGGTGCGGGCCGGGCCGCGCGGGGCCGCGCTGCCTCCGCTGCCCTCTCCCGCCTCTTCCTGCTCCTCCTCCTCCTCCTCCTCCTCCTCCTCCACCTCCTCCTCCTCCTCCTCCACCTTCTCCCCCTGCTTGCCGGCCTCTTCTCTCGAAGCCATGATAGCTCTGTTCACGAGCTGGGAAAAATGCGGATAGCAAAGCAGTGCGCGCCCGCGCGTGCCCGCCCGCTCCCGTGCCTCGAGACCCCTGGATGTTTCGGCCAGGCTGTGGCCCTCCTGCCTGGTGGACCAGTTCGGCCCCTCCAGGTTCCGTCTTCTCCGGCGCAGTCGCCCCACGGGGATGCAGGAGCCACGGTCTTGAGGGCCGCGGCCGCGGCGTGCCTTGGCCACGACCACGCCCCCTTCACGGGCCGAACCTTACCCCCTCGAGTGGGTCAAGGGCAGACCTTTCTGCCATCGGCAGAGGGTGGCGGAGGGTCGGGGGAAGCTGGCGGGAGTAGAGACATGGCGCGGCTTCACCAGCGTCGCACGGCGAAGAATTAGCGGCAGCTGGCTGAAGCGAAGGCGAACTCCTTAGTACAGTCAACACATGTGCCCTCTTGAATTCCGAATACTGTATTGCTAGATGCGAACGTTGATTATGCAAAATCTTTGCACGACATCCGAGTGTTTGGCTATTTCTCCCCCTTATGCCTGACAGGGGGAGAGGTGGATGCGTACCACTATTTAGCGACTTGAGCTGTTTGCAATTCACACAGCGCGCACTACTCCAAGGATATGATGCCAATATTGAAGATTTGGTCGGACAGCTCTTGGCGCAGGGTATCGATGAAATGTTTGTGTATGGTTTTTGGGCACGCGGGCACGCAGCTCGGAATGTTCATTCAACAGGCATCTAACGATCCAATTATTCCGTTCGCAATGGTGGCCATGTTGAGTTGAAAGTCAATGGCAACGATGTGTTGCGTTCTGTCCGCGCAGTTGTATACCCTTTTTTCACTAACAGAACTGGCACGCAGCACATTGTCTGGCACAGTGTGTCAACCATGATGGGCGTGAACTGACCAGCAACGAGGTAGGCTCTATTCGACTCGTTCATGCAGAGTCCACGTTGTAATTGCTCACGTTCGTTGCTTGCCTGTCCTCCATTCGTCCCATCACAACATCACGAAAACAAAGTACACTACGGAGGAACCCCACATACTTGCTTTATGTCGCGTAAATTCACATACCGCGTCACATCCTGCTTCGCCATCCTCTACGCTGGTTCGCAACAGTTGCAATGCAACCTCCCTCCTCTCTTGTCTTATATTTGTCTCTGTGGCTCTCTCTACCTCGCCGCGGTCTGACTCGCGCTCGCCTTGCACTATACGCGCGCGCGGCCAGACAAAAGAGCAGGAATCCTCCTCAGACAGAAAGTCTTTGGGAGCGCCCTTCGATGGGCATGCGCGGCAAAGAGAAGGGCAGGAACCCCCCTTAGACGGAAAGTCCTGGGGAGCGCCTTTCGATGGAAGATCTCTGGGCGACGCAAAAGTTCCGAAACTCAATCTCCGCACCCACTGACGAGGCGGTCGACGAGAGCCATCTCCCAAGGCTCCTCGACAAGCCGAGGTGCCCACTGGGGCGAGGATGCCCACGTGGCGAACACGTCCCGCAGAGCAAGAGGAAGGAAGTCATCGAGGGCCGTTTTCACAGGCGTAGCCTTCATTTGCGTGGCAAGCGCTGCGGAGGGGGCCTCTGGTCCAGCGACCGCGCTGCCGGCGTCGTGCACTCGCCGAACCTTCGCCGCCGGCTCCGCCGATGTGGAAGAGCCTCCCGGGGGAACCGGCCCGACGCAGGGTTCCGCAGGTACGCCACCAGGCTCTGCCTCTTGCCGTCGTCGGTCATGCCAGAGCTCTTCCCGTACAGCGCATCGGACTACCAATTGTTCAGGTGGCGGCGGTACACATTCAAAGCAGACTGCACCATCCGGTTTGCGCATCTCTGCTAGCTCTCCACACTGGCCTCGTCGCCCATCTGAATCATTGCGTACTTCATCGCTAAAAATGGAGGTGGCAGTTCGCCCGTGGTAATTCTGGGCGGCAGTGCTGCCCCTCGAAGGTCGTGCCGCGCCGGCTTGAGTCACGATGTTTACAGATCTGGGTAAGACGCGCGCTCCTTCGCACTGGCGTCAAGGAAGCGCCATGCCTGCCACGCCCCACGAGCCTGCAGCGCATAGCGCCCCCACGCCCAGCGCACCCTTTGTGGCGTCGAGGAAAAGCTACCACGCCCTGCGAGCCTGCAGCGCAGAGCGCCTCCACCCCAGCTCGCCCCCAGTGCCGTCGAGGAAATGCCACGCCTGCCACACCCTGCGACCCAAAGTTTGCGTACGCGTGTCTTGTGTATGTGTATGATGTGTGTGTGCGTGTGTGGCTGTGTGTGCCCGTGTGTCTCAGTGTGGGTGCAGTGCTTGTGTTGTTTGCGTCTTGAATGTCATTTAGGTGTGTTGCGTGTGTGTGTGTGTGCGTATGTGTCGTGCGTTGTGCGGATGTCAAATTGCCTGCCACACTTTGCAGTACGTGCGTCATCCCTCTCCTAC